TCTTTAACTACACTTCCTGGTTCCTGGTTCTTTAACTACACTGGTTCTTTAACTACACTTCCTGCTCTTTAACTACACTTCCTGGTTCTGGTTCTTTAACTACACTTCCTGGTTCTTTAACTACACTTCCTGGTTCTTTAACTACACTTCCTGGTTCTTTTAACTACACTTCCTGGCTCTTTAACTACACTTCCTGGTTCTTTACCTACACTTCCTGGTTCTTTAACTACACTTCCTGGTTCTTTAACTACACTTCCTGGTTCTTTAACTACACTTCCTGGTTCTTTAACTACACTTCCGGGTTCTTTAACTACACTTCCTGGCTCTTTAACTACACTTCCTGGTTCTTTAACTACACTTCCTGGTTCTTTAACTACACTTCCTGGCTCTTTAACTACACTTCCTGGTTCTTTAACTACACTTCCTGGCTCTTTAACTACACTTCCTGGTTCTTTAACTACACTTCCTGGCTCTTTAACTACACTTCCTGGTTCTTTAACTACACTTCCTGGTTCTTTAACTACACTTCCTGGTTCTTTAAACTACACTTCCTGGTTCTTTAACTACACTTCCTGGTTCTTTAACTACACTTCCTGGTTCTTTAACTACACTTCCTGGTTCTTTAACTACACTTCCTGGTTCTTAACTACACTTCCTGGTTCTTAATACACTTCCTGGTTCTTTAACTACACTTCCTGGCTCTTTAACTACACTTCCTGGTTCTTTAACTACACTTCCTGGCTCTTTAACTACACTTCCTGGTTCTTCAACTACACTTCCTGGCTCTTTAACTACACTTCCTGGTTCTTTAACTACACTTCCTGGTTCTTTAACTACACTTCCTGGTTCTTTAACTACACTTCCTGGTTCTTTAACTACACTTCCTGGTTCTTTAACTTCACTTCCTGGTTCTTTAACTACACTTCCTGGCTCTATAACTACACTTCCTGGTTCTTCAACTACACTTCCTGGTTCTTTAACTACACTTCCTGGTTCTTTAACGACACTTCCTGGTTCTTTAACTAAACTTCCTGGTTCTTTACTTCCTTGCTCTTTAACTACACTTCCTGGTTCTTTAACTACACTTCCTGGTTCTTTACCTACACTTTCTGGCTCTTTCCTGGTTCTTTAAGTACACTTCCTGGTTCTTTACCTACACTTTCTGGCTCTTTCCTGGTTCTTTAACTACACTTCCTGGTTCTTTAACTACACTTCCTGGTTCTTTAACTACACTTCCTGGCTCTTTAACTACACTTCCTGGCTCTTTAACTACACTTCCTGGTTCTTTAACTACACTTCCTGGTTCTTTAACTACACTTCCTGGTTCTTTACCTACACTTCATGGCTCTTTAACTAAACTTCCTGGTTCTTTAACTACACTTCCTGGTTCTTTAACTACACTTCCTGGTTCTTTAACTACACTTCCTGGCTCTTTAACTACACTTCCTGGTTCTTTAACTACACTTCCTGGTTCTTTAACTACACTTCCTGGTTCTTTAACTACTCTTCCTGGTTCTTAAACTACACTTCCTGGCTCTTTAACTACACTTCCTGGTTCTTTACCTACACTTCCTGTCTCTTTAACTACTCTTCCTGGTTCTTAAACTACACTTCCTGGCTCTTTAACTACACTTCCTGGTTCTTTACCTACACTTTCTGGCTCTTTAACTAAACTTCCTGGTTCTTTAACTACACTTCCTGGTTCTTTAACTACTCTTCCTGGTTCTTAAACTACACTTCCTGGCTCTTAAACTACACTTCCTGGTTCTTTACCTACACTTCCTGTCTCTTTAACTACTCTTCCTGGTTCTTAAACTACACTTCCTGGCTCTTTAACTACACTTCCTGGTTCTTTAACTACTCTTCCTGGTTCTTAAACTACACTTCCTGGTTCTTTAACTACACTTCCTGGTTCTTTAACTACACTTCCTGGTTCTTAAACTACACTTCCTGGTTCTTTAACTACACTTCCTGGCTCTTTAACTACACTTCCTGGCTCTTTAACTACACTTCCTGGCTCTTTAACTACACTTCCTGGTTCTTTAACTACACTTCCTGGCTCTTTAACTACACTTCCTAGTTCTTTAACTACACTTCCTGGCTCTTTAACTACACTTCCTGGTTCTTTAACTACACTTCCTGGTTCTTTAACTACACTTCCTGGTTCTTTAACTAAACTTCCTGGTTCTTTAACTTCACTTCCTGGTTCTTTAACTACACTTCCTGGTTCTTTAACTAAACTTCCTGGTTCTTTAACTACACTTCCTGGCTCTATAACTACACTTCCTGGTTCTTCAACTACACTTCCTGGTTCTTTAACTACACTTCCTGGTTCTTTAACGACACTTCCTGGTTCTTTAACTACACTTCCTGGTTCTTTAACGACACTTCCTGGCTCTTTAACTACACTTCCTGGTTCTTCAACTACACTTCCTGGTTCTTTGACTACACTTCCTGGCTCTTTAACTACACTTCCTGGCTCTTTAACTAAACTTCCTGGTTCTTTACTTCCTTGCTCTTTAACTACACTTCCTGGTTCTTTAACTACACTTCCTGGTTCTTTACCTACACTTTCTGGTTCTTTAACTACACTTCCTGGTTCTTTAACTACACTTCCTGGTTCTTTAACTACACTTCCTGGTTCTTTAACTACACTTCCTGGTTCTTTACCTACACTTCATGGCTCTTTAACTAAACTTCCTGGTTCTTTAACTACACTGTATGGAGAAATATCAGACCTGGCCTTTTTTGTACATGTCTGTGCAAAAAGGCCAAGGTCTGATATTTCTCTGTACAGACCGAGCAAGCGAGGTTAATACATGTTTCATTATATGACTCTCGTCTGTGTCTTTACCAATGCTTTTGAGATATTTGTGAAGTACGTTCATGTCCAACTTGGTTTTGTGTGATACGCGCTGCGGACAGATTGTCATGGTAACGGTCCGAGATGGGAAAATATCAGACCGGTAATCAGCCAATCAGAGCGCGCGTACGGTCCAAGTCATATAATAAGGACATTTATCAACATTCATGGACATTGGTCTCTCCGTATGGACCAATTCCTATGTGTATATTTTGTGTTTTAACTGTTGATTCTCTGATCTGTGTTGGTGATTTCAATGGTTTTGTTAAGTTCCCTGAGATGACGCTGTTGTGATTTAGGGCTATACAAGAATAAATTGTATTGTATTGTAATATTTAGGGCAACAGTAGCTCAGTTGGTAGAGCATTGGGCTTTGAGCCGGGTCGAATTGACTCGCCACAGTGATTAAAAAACATGTCCTAACTTGACCAGCCCTGGGTCCTTTTTTGAGCCTTGTTTAGGATATTTCTCTTCTATTTTTTTAGTTGCTGTGTTGGGTCATTTAGACTTGAGTTGTGCAGAGGGACCAGAAGAACCAGGAGGACAGGCACCAGCCTTCCCTGGCTAGGCCTTGGCCAATGCAGACCCTGGGGAAGTCCAGCTCTACCATGGCACTAAGAGCGACTTGGGTCTGATTGACACTTCCGGGTAAAAATAAAGAAAGATAGGATAAGATAGACTTTATTGATCTCACTCTGGAGAAATCTACAGGTGTTTAGGTGTTTTCTCTTTGAATGATGTTTGTTTTAGTCTGAGAGCTGTTGAAAAATGTTTTACACTTGAAATGAAAGTCAGTCACACAAAAATATTGGATTATTCATGTAATCATTAAATAAAATACGGTACACTGTGTTAGGTCGTGGCTCTATAGGTTACATGCAATTATTTTAATATTCTTTAAAGAAACATTGAACCAGTCCGGCCTTCGGTGTGTAGCATGTATTTGACTTTGACGTCCCTGATTTAGAGAGATGGGGTGGGGAAATGTGTTCCTGACATTAGTGTGACTGGAGCTAAAAACATAGCACTTATTTTTTGTCATTTGTAGGTTTTAGAGCGAGAGACTGGAGCTTACTGTTACACTGTGGCACAAACACAACTTCAGTTTTGTTGTTTTTGTTGTTGGAAAGTTGTTTTGATTTCACCTGCTATTTTTTAAAAGTTTTTTCTCACCTCAATTGCTTGATTCATTGTGTGTGTGTGTGCGTGTGTGTGTGTGTGTGTGTATGTGTGTGTATGTGTGAGTGTGCGCCTGCGTGTGTGTGTGAGTGTGTGCAGATATGTGTGTGTGTGCGCCTGCGTGTGTGGATTTCTGTGTTTGTGTGTGAAGACTTTTGACTCCAGTTACTCTGCTCATGTCTCACTGCTGCCGTTGTTCCATGATGAACACATCCATTATTTACAAAGCAATCCTCCAAAAATCAATTATTACAATGAGAATGATTCAGGCGGCGGTGTGCATGTTAAACAGCAGTGAGAGGACAGTTTAATGACACTATGGGGACACAGGGCGTCAGACTGATGCGAAACTACAGCTACTTACAGGAAATCTTGAATTCAAATGAGGTTAAAACAATTATAATCCCGAAATATATTTTGTTATGCTTAATCAAAGCTGAAAAAAAAAGGTTAATTTTGTTACCCCCTGAAATCAACTTCAATCCAAGTCATCAAAGCAGTGGGCTTTGATGACTTGGATTTATATATACTATGTATATATACTGTAACTATGATAAACGTTGTTGAATTTGGAGTTAAATGTCGAGTGTCTTGAATCATCACCACTGTCATAAGACCCTGCTAAATCAGCAAGGACAAACTCTTAAAAACTCAGTGGGAGAAAATGAGAAACCTCGAGGAGGCCCACTGTGAGGGAGGGATGTGCTCCCGCGGCCGGAAGGGCTGTAGATCCAGGACTGAGGCTGTAGATCCAGGACTGAGGCTGTAGATCCAGGACTGAGGCTGTAGATCCAGGACTGAGGCTGTAGATCCAGGACTAAGGCTGTAGATCCAGGACTGAGGCTGTAGATCGAGGACTAAGGCTGTAGCTGTAGATCCAGGACTGAGGCTGTAGACCCAGGACTGAGGCCACGTGATGCAGGACTGAGGCAGCCCAGGCGGCGAGAGGATACAGCCCATGAGTTGGGCCGGGGAGGACAGTCCACAGGTGTAGATGGAGGAGGCCGGGTTAGGGGTCCCATCATACCACCATGAAACAGACAATAAGACAGCGGGTGCATAGCAATGAACAGGCTACAGCTGAAGTCATAATAATGACAGAGGTAGGAGAGGATACTCCTCAAGTCACCGCGCTCGTTAGCTTATTTGAGCTTCTTTTTCTATCAAGTCTGAAGCCATGTGATCAGGGCCGCAATCAGTGCATAGTATTTAGCATAAATAAACTGAAGAATCCCTATTCACAACATTATAATTTTGGGCACAACCAACATGCATTTTTATTGTAAGGGAAATTGTAGCTACCCCAATTTTAAATTTGTGAATTTTAGTTGCGCTTCAGAAGGAGACACGGGGAAGACATGGACACTTCCTGAGGCTCCATCGTCCAGCTCTGTTTCTTGCAGCTATGTATTTATTGCGTGCACAGGTTACACACAAACACACACTTGCAACAAGCAGAGAAAGACTGCCTGACTATTTGAGAAGGACTGGTCTATGTGAAGTATGTACTGTATAGGCGCTTACGAACTCAACTGATAGTTGACGTTTCTGATTTTTGTTGCGCATGTGTACATGTGTACCACTTATGTGCACCCCTGCTTATACACTCCAAGACACAAAAGTCTTGACTCAATTGGTCAAATAAAAAAGAGAAATCACAGCTATTACTACCACTGCTTCTACGATTCAGTCTAATGTCAGCACCAGCTACAGCAAACAGCCCATAATAAAGCTTCTCTTGTCCCTGCTGGTGCCTGCCTCTGGTTTCTGTGGCGACGCGCTGAGGTCCGTCTGGTGATAATTAGTCGGTGTAGCCGCGCTGCTGAACACGCGGCAGCTGTCACAGGTGCATTGTGGGAAACGCGGTTCGCACTGACAGCCGTGACTGCACCATCTGGGCCTGTCCCCTCGCTAAGGTAACACTACAGAGGAGGGGAGGAGGGAAAGAGGGGAGGTGGGGAGGTGGGGAGGAGGGAGGGGGGAGGGGGAGAGGAGATTGTGAACGAGCCCAGCAGGACATCCGTGTTGTAATCGCTAAAAACTAAAGTCCGCTTTGTCACAGTTTTGCACCTGCCACGATGGGGTTTGGAAGTGTCAAAAAAATATCTAGATCATCAAAGATACTCCTCCATCGCTACAGTATTCCGTACATTGGTCATGTTGTGTGATCATACACAGTGCTCGATAGTCTTCAGACCCAATGGACCTTCCACATTTTAACACATCATGACTACATTTTTCTTTTCTTTTACAGGTGTGAAGTCTACTATGACGGCTGAACTCCTGGGTTTGATCCAGTATCTGCCCAGGCCTTTTTGTGTGGAGCCTCAGAAAGACCAGGACTGACCTGTTCTTCAGAGCCTCAGCAAGTCCAGGATTTCAGAACTGATCTATTTATTTTACTATTTATGATTTTATCCGTCTACTCCCTGCTTTGCCTCAGCGGCTGATTAATTTCACCTTGTGGGATAAAAAGGTATCCACCTTTACAGACATGCTGACTGGTTTCAAATATAGAACACTTAAAACTGGAGTAACTAACATGTATCATGTATCGTTCACAGCTCTCGCAACAGTTTGGTTCTACTATGAATGTTCTTACCCTCTGTCACTTCTTTGTATTTGACTTCTCAGTGAAAAAGAGACGGTCTGATTTGTTCACAAAATGTTACTTAAAAAAGATTATTTCTTTTGGGACTAGCACAATATATTTATGAAATAAATTACCCCAGCACCACCCTTCAAGTGAATACTTGCTTCAAACCTTATAATAATGCATTTGTTTTATATATATGTTTTTTGGACACTCAAAGATGCTTCACGGTGGTGATTTGACTACTTCAGTAGCCACAGCTGCCCTGGGCATACTGACAAAAGCCAGTAAGTAAGTAAGTTTTTATTTATATACCGCCTTTTCACTGCAGATCTGAGTCTCAAAGCGGTTTACAATTGTTAATTTTGGGCATTTGTCTCTCACTCCACACAGAGATGGGAGCGGGGTTACCAGTACAGGAGGCACATGCCAGAACTATTGGACATATTTTTAGTGGTAGGGGAAACCGGAGTACCCGGAGGAAACCTACGCAGACACGGGGAGAACATGCAAACTCCACTCAGAAAGGCCCTGGTCCGACTGGGATTCGAACCCAGGACCTTCTTGCTGAGAGGCGAGAGTGCTATCCACTCAGCCACCGTGCCGCCCAGTAAGGCCATCTGCCACTGCAACCACCACCAACAATTCACACATTCTCCATCAGGTGAGGTCCGGTCCGCTCTTTTTTGAGGCTCCATGAGGTGAGAACTGGGCATGTACGAAAACCGTTATTTCTCATTTAAGATCAAAATCCCTGTGTGAGCGCATGAGAAGAAGGCAAGACAAGGCAAGTTTATTTGTATTGCACAGTTCATACACAAGGCATCTCAAAGTGCTGAACAAAACAAGATACAGACAATTAGACAAGGCATTACAATCATAAATAATCACAGTAAATTAAAAAGAGTATAGATAACATCCCACAGTTGTATTCACAGTTAAACAGAGCTGTTTTTCACCTGGATTTGAAGAGGCCTGTCTCACATTTTCAGGAAAACATGTTCAGATTTCAGCTGCATACATCTGAAACGCTGCCTCCACATGTTTAGTCCTGACTCCGAGCACCTGCAGGAGGCCAGAAGAACACTCTTTACTCTCCCACCTCAGTTTGAGTTTTTCCATGAGTTTGCTTTCAGCGCCCCCTGCTGGGTGCACCAAGCAGCACCAACCTCGCAGTGACCATGTCGGATGGAGGTAGTTTCCCCAACGTTTTGAAATCCACAATGGACATGTTTTCGGAACTAGTTTTTAAAGACATTTTTTACTCGTCGTCATCAAGTTTCATGGTGTTTTTACAGTCAGAACTACAGGTGTGGAGTCAGACTGCAAGATTCAGATTCATTGTTTTTGCCATTTGCAGTAAAACCACATTGGAATGCATGTGCAAAAGTACCCGGTGAGCACCCAACAGGTACATGAATAGATAAAACAAGCTAAAAGTACACAGAACTAACGTCTATCTAAAGTAAAGTAAATCAACAAAAAAAGTGTCAATACAACTCCAGGAACATTAAAATGCTTTGTTTGAACCAGGAACAAGTTACAAAAATATGCATTGTGCATAAACTGATGGAAAGAAGCTGTTTTGCATATCCATAAGTCCTGCAACTCCGCCAACGATAAAATGTGCCAGGGGGAAGAGCGTTGGTAGAGCGTTGGCCTTTGAGCCAGAAGGTCGTGGGTTCAAGCCCCGCTCAAGATTTTCACCATCGACTCCCACTGACTACTGTCGTTGTGTCCTTGGCAAGACACTTAACCTCTGGGAACACCTCTGGGAACACCAGCCACAGTGGGGCGGCTGCGGCTGTAAAGTGCCAAACTGCCGTTGTGTCCTTAGGCAAGACACTTCACCCCCATTGCCTAGAATGAGTCTGGTGTGTGTGTGAATGGTTGGTGGTGGTCGGAGGGGCCGATGGCACATACTGGTTGCCTCGCTTCTGTCAGTGTGCCCCAGGGCAGCTGTGGCTACATTAGTAGTTTATCACCACCGTGTATGGAGTGAATGAATAATGACACATGTGAAGCGTCTTTGAGTGTCCAAAAAGCGCTATATAAAAAAACGATGCATTATTATTATTATTAGCCTCTAATGGTGTGATTTGTGCTGAAAATGAATTAAGGAGTTTGTATAATTGATTTGAGACGTTTTTAAAGAATTAAATGATTTTACAAATGGAACATCAGTCTATAGTCTTGTGGGAATTTGATCCATGTGGCAAACATTCTTTAAAATGCTGTTCCTTACACCCACAAAACATATATAACATCTTATGTCTCGGTGCTCCAAGCTACAGCATGTGCAACATACCTTTGGCGAGTAATGGTTGCTTCTGAGCCATAGGTTGGAGCCCCTGATGTATGTTATGCTGCTTTTTTCTATCCCATCCATTCTTCTTCTTCCCATTTGTTCATTGCTGGGTCCGGGGTGGGTTGGCAATCCAGCTGACACCCCAATTCAGAGAAGCTTCAACCCCCTCATGATCCCTGCAGGTGTTGAGTCAGATGACGCATAGGCTTTATCTTTCAGCAGGGGGGCTTCAGGCAAAGTGGGTTACGTGTCTTTGCCAATGGACTCATTCATTATTCATGTCTTAACTTTCTCCTCTGGATGGCTGTGTGGCAGTGGCTGTATAATTTCTATTTATGTTATGTATTTATTCTCAATATAATCAATTACCCTGATAACACCACTAATATCATAATTAATTAACCCATTGCTTAATATTATTATCAATGTCAATTAGTAAATGATGTATTTGTATACATACACCTATACATACATAATAAAAGTAAAAAAAATAATGAGTGGAAAAAAAAAAATAAAAATAAGTAAACATCCCCCTCCATCCCCCTCTGCTGTATCCCTTAAAATATGTATCTACACATATTCTTGTTTGTTTGTTTGTTTTTTGAATGTATGTTACCTTGCAAAATCAAAAAAAGCTTTTTAAAAAAAAGAGAAAAAAAAAGAATAACATTTCTGCAATATTTTTGTATTTTTTTTTTTTGTATTTAAGTTTTTATTTTTCATTATGCAGTTGTTTGTTGCTGTTTGGGATTGTGTCGTGACAATCCTTTAGCACGGAGCTGCTGCAACCTCCCGTACGCTGTGTCCGATTGAAAAACCCTGAGATGGATCCAAAGGAGGGAACAAGGCGTGAGAACCGCTTTCCTTGTCGTGGTCTGGTGTTCTCTTCTACACACACCTTCTCTGTGTCGGTGTGTGTCTCAGGCTTGGTTTCGGGGGCTGGTTCTATCATTTCCAGAAGCTTTTGTTCCCACGCAACTTCCATGTTCTTGTGCTCAATAGTTTGTTTGAGGTCCAGCATCTCTGATTCCAAGTCTCTTTGTCTATCAAACGACTTGTACAGACTGTTCTCATGCTCCCCTCTCTCCTGAAGTCTTCTGACCTCCAGTCGTTCCAACTCCAGCTGCACATGGGCCTTGGTCTGTTTTATCTCTTCAGATTTTTCCCTGACCATGGCCTGTTCTTGCTCCAGCTCCTCCTGCCGCTGTCTGATAGTTGCATCCCTCTCCCGGAGCTGCTGCTGCATCTGTAACAAACGTCGCAAAAACACAATCTTTGAGTCGGCCGCCTGGTCTAACTCTCTCTCGTAGTGCAGCTCCTTTGTCATCCATTCGAGATGAGCTTGATCCCTTACTGTCTGAAAACTAATGAATCTGCTCTTTAGATCTGCGTTTTCTACACACAAATCCTGCTTCATCTCCTCCATGTTCTGAAGGTCATTTTCCAGATTTGTTATTGTGTTTTGAAGCTGCTCCTTCTCCTGCCTCCACGCCTGTGTCTCCAGCGTGAATACATGGTCAAAGTACTGATCCTTTTCAAAGTACTTTTTCCTCAGAGAATCATTATCCCGCCTCAAACGTTCTATTTCAGAATGCAAATATTTTGTAGACACGGTGTGATGAGAGTGCTCTAAGTTTTCCTCGCTTTCATGGCCTTGCAACGGTGAGCTGGGATTTGCATTTTCAGCATCTAAAATCCTGGCCCTTCCTTGATACCAAGCCTCTATCTGGACCCTTTGGGTCTCGCGAATGGCCAGGTGCTTCTGCCGTTTGTCAAACTGTCGTTGGAGGTCGGCTAAGTCAGCAGATTCCTGATCTCCTCTTAGATTCACGTCAACAGACCTCAACCTGTCAACCTGCTCTTTGAAGATGGTTTCGTCTGTGTTCCAGGCCTCTTCACTCTGACTCCACGGCAGCTCTTGAGCCACATTTTCTTCACCGAAATGGTCGACCTCGTTGGAAAGCCACTTCTGCAGCTTTCCGTGGAAGTTCATCTCAGCTGCATCATGTTCCTTTTCCACACACTGCCAGGTCTCAATGAAAGCCTTAATGCTTGTCTCAGGGACTTCCATTTTGCAGTGTGCTGAACCGACGTATGGACGATGGACCCAGAGGTTCTGGCTGTAGCGGAGTCAGTGCTTGCCTCCCACAGCTATATCCACATCAGCTAGTAGGACTTTCCAAGCTATAAGGCCTGGGTCATTCTTTTCCCTGCAGTGACATCTCCATGGAAACGGCTTTAGAATAGATGATGCCATCAAAATCTAGAACTATTCAGGGCCTATAGAAACCGTTGCCATGGAAACCTATATAACATTGAATGAATCTCTTCATATATAGATAGATGGATACTTTATTGATCCCTGTAGGAGAAATTCAGGTGTCACAAGGAGTTTGTTCTTTTATGCTCAGTAGTGTTTTTACGTTCAGATAACTTTCTATTTCAATATTGTCCTGGTTGTTTTTTTTTGTCCAATAGAAATTTTATGAATTGAAACAAAGCGCACATACATTGAAAATTGAAAACTCACTGGTGTCTCTAACCCAGAGAGCTACAGTACAGTACTATTGTTACTAGTGACAGAGTAAGTGCATTTACAATTATAAATAGTGATAATTATTAATACCATCCATCCATCCATTTTCTTCCGCTTTATCCGTTGCCGGGTCGCGGGGGCAGCAGTCTAAGCAGAGACGCCCAGACTTCCCTATCCACACACACTTCCTCCAGCTCGTCCGGGGGGACCCCAAGGCGTTCCCAGGCCAGCTGAGAGACATAGTCCCTCCAGCGTGTCCTGGGTCTTCCCCGGGGCCTCCTCCTGGTGGGACGTGCCCGGAGCACCTCCCCAGGGAGGCGTCCAGGAGGCATCCGGAACAGATGCCCGAGCCACCTCAACTGTTTCCTCTCGACGTGGAGAAGCAGCGGCTCTACTCCGAGCTCCTCCCGTGTGACTGAGCTCCTCACCCTATCTCTAAGGGAGCGCCCAGCCACTCTGCGGAGGAAGCTCATTTCGGCCGCTTGTATCCGCGATCTCGTTTTTTCGGTCATTACCCAAAGCTCATGACCATAGGTGAGGGGGGGAACAAAGATTGACCGGTAAATCTAAAGCTTTGCCTTTCGGCTCAGCTCCCTCTTTACCACAACGGTAAAGATGGTATGATTAATACCATCTGAAATATTAAGTGTATTTTTTGATTTGTTAATTTCTAAATTCCTTGGCGAGCCATTGGTGTATTCAGAGCTACAGGTTTGAGACCCATCCCTGATCCAGCTTCTACTCCTGTTCCAGATCCAGCCCCAACCACAACCTCCTCAGCCTTCATTTTTACCGTCAATAAATCCTGTTAACCCGTCCTGTCTCCTTTGGTCATAATCATTTATTCTGTCATCTTCTTGCTTGGCTAAAGATTCTGTACTTTGTAGCAGTGTTTGATCAGGTGTTAGTGCTGCTAATTAGATGAATCCAAGAGCAAATGATTCATTTTTTTCAGATGGAGAGGGAAGAAGGATCATAGAAAAGAAGATGGAAGGAGACAAAGAAGAGACGACAACAGAGACTGATCCTCCACTGACTGACATGGGGTCAAACATGATTATTTTCTTTTAAGACAAATCTGTGGTCCTCACACCAATGCACTGTTGTTTCTATATCTGCCGATAGACTGTGATACATGTATAGTTTTTATTTAAGGAGACAAAAAACATCTAAATTGTTTTTTTGAAAATGATGCAAAACGTAAATGTTCAAATGCAAAAATAACAGAATTGAGGAACTGATGAGCCCAAACTTGAATAGAAAGAAGTCCAGAGTTGTATCTACTGAAGTCTGAAAATGTCAGGTATATAGCTGACATGTGTTTGAAGCTGGAGGAGACTGGATCTTGAGGTTTTGACACTTTACCATAAGGGACAATAATAATAATAATGCATCGGTTTTATATAGCGCTTTTCTGGACACTCAAAGACGCTTCACATGTGTCATTATTCATTCACTCCATACACGGTGGTGATAAACTACTAATGTAGCCACAGCTGCCCTGGGGCACACTGACAGAAGCGAGGCAACCAGTATGTGCCATCGGCCCCTCTGACCACCACCAACCATTCATACACACACCAGACTCATTCTAGGCAATGGGGGTGAAGTGTCTTGCCTAAGGACACAACAGCAGTTTGGCACTTTACAGCCGCAGCCGCCCCACTGTGGCTGGTGTTCCCAGAGGTTAAGTGTCTTGCCAAGGACACAACGACAGTAGTCAGTGGGAGTCGATGGTGAAAGTCTTGAGCGGGGCTTGAACCCACGACCTTCTGGCTCAAAGGCCAACGCTCTACCAACTGAGCTACTGCCGCCCACAATGCTGCAAACACGGCACTGTGCTGTTCTAATGTCCGTAATTCGACTGGAAATGTACCCAAAACTTATTCAGAGGCGAAACTTGTGAAAACGGCTCTGTCCATGATGTCATAGGGGTGTAAGGGTCATGTTTTTTGACTTCTCCAGTGCTTTCAACACCATCAGAGCGGCACTGCTGCGGGGGAAGATGGAGGACGCGGGAGTGGACAGTAGCCTCACTGCATGGATCATCAACTACCTCTCAGACCGACCACAGTACGTGCGGCTGCGCAGCTGCGAGTCTGAGGTGGTAGTCTGCAGCACTGGGGCCCCTCAGGGCACTGTCCTCTCACCGTTTCTCTTCACCATCTACACTTCAGACTTCACACACGACACACACAGCTGTCACCTGCAGAAGTCTGGTTGTCTGAGGGGAACAAACTGGAGACCGGTCGGTTATCACAGACTTTGTTGACTGGTGTGAGCACAACCACTTGTTCTTGAACACCAGTAAGACCAAGGAGAGGGTAATCAACTTCAGGAGAAAACCACTTTCCCACACGCTGCTGAACATCCAGGGGGAGGACATTGAGCTGGTGGACAGCTTCAAGTACCTGGGTGTTCACATTAACAATAAACTGGACTGGTCCCCTAATACAAACGCCCTGCACAAGAAGGGCCAAAGTTGCCTCTTCCTTCTGAGGAGGCTGAGGTCCTTCGGAGTGAGCAGGCCTCTGCTCAGGACTTTTTATGACTCCGTGGTAGCCTCTGCCATTTACTACGCTGCCGTGTGCTGGGCCCTGGGCAGCACAGAGCGGGACAGGAGCAGACTGAACAAGCTGATTCAAAAAGGTTCATTTTGTCTTGAGTTAAAAAAAATTGTTTTTGGTTCTTTTTAAAAGACAAGTTTAGATGTTTTACCTTGTTAGCATGTTTTGGCTGCAGAGCTGCGAGCCATCTTCAGAACTGTCACCTGCCTTGGTGTCATCGCCCGGTGGTCTCTGGAGGAGGGTGCCATGTGTGGGACAGGAGGAAAGCTCCCTCATCTCAGTTGATGCTGTTGTTGCCCTGCTTCCTGATTTCAATGGCCTCCTTAATCCAGCGCTTGTATTTGTTGTTTTCGGATCCCGTGGACCCATGCCCTGTCCCAGTCCATAATGTGGTTATTTCTCTTGCAGTGGTCTGAAACGGCTGATTTGAGATTTTCCCTGATTTTCTGGTTCTTTTCCGGGCCGAATGAGTCTCCCTGATGTCTCTCTCTCACATTCCTTCTGATGCTCCTTTTTTTTTTCCAAAAAAAAAAAAAAAAGAAAAAAGACTGAACAAGCTGGTCAGGAGGGCCAGCTCTACTCTGGGCTGCCCCTTGGACTCTGTGGAGGAGGTGAGGGACAGGAGGGTGCTAACCAAAGTCAGCTCCATCATGAACAACACCTCCCACTGCACAGGACTGTAGAGGAGCTGAGGAGCTCCTTCAGAGGAAGACTGAGACACCCTCAGTGTAAGGAGCGCTACCGCAGGGCCTTTATCCCCACTGCTGTCAGACTGTACAATAAGTCACTTTAAATCACTTGCACTACAGGACTAAAAACCTGCACTACTATTGACACTGTTTCTTTAATTGCCACTTTTAATTGTACATGATGTATCCTGCACAGACCATATTTTTTTGCCTTTAACATCAACATTAACACTTCTTTCTTTTACACAAATCTGACTGTTTCGATCCATGCCAAATGTGACATTTATCCTGTGTGAGATCAATAAAGTCTATCTTATCTTATCTCATGGTCTTAAGATTCATCAAACTATGAGAAGTTTAAAAACAGAACGAATTTGACTTCTACATTTGGATTGTAAGACACTTGATCAACATCTAGAATATGTCACTTCAGAAACTCAGCCAAAAATATTACTTTTTAATCACTTTGTTGAGTCAATTTGACGCGAGGACAGCTGGACATTTATGACTTTATAAGAAACCTGTAAATACAATGTTTTCCAATGGCCTGTATTTTTGTCATTTTTATTTAAACACATTGTCATTTGAAAATGCTATTAGATATTTCTCAAAGGTCCAGTCTTGGTCTGGTGTCCCTGAGTCCGGGCGGTGGATCAGTTCTGGTCTGGTCTAGCTGAGTCCAGGCGGTAGATCAGTCCTGCTCCAGTCCTGGTCTGGTCCCGCTGAGTCCAGGCGGTGGTCAGTCCTGGTCTGGTTTCCCTGAGTCCGGGCGGTGGATCAGTCCTGCTCTAGTCCTGGTCTGGTTTTCCTGAGTCCCGGCAGTGGATCAGTCCAGCACTGGCTCAGGCCTCATGAATTCTTAAATCTGTGGTCTGAATAATTCATGCAGATTATTGCTCTTTCTCAAACTCTCATTAAGACAGAGAGATTACATCTGTGGAGACACCTGGGCTGGTTTGGGACTGAAGCTGGTCTAAAGATGGACTAAAGCAGGTCTGATGCAAGTGTGAAGCTGGTTCAAAGCTGGTATAACTACACATGTGTAAAACAAGAATAAACCATGTCTGAAGCAGGATTAAGCTGGTCTAAAGCATTCTGGAGTAGGTCAAAGCAGGGCTGGAGACAGACTAAAGCAGGTCTACGTTGGGTCCACAGCAGCTACACAAAAACATTGGTGGGATTTGCATTCACTACAGCTCACTGTGTTGTTACAGACAGAGAAACATACATCAACAAAAGGCATTTCAGTTAATATGCGATAAATGTGTAATTAGTCTGA